TTAGTCAACCCACTGTTGCTCACATAGTGAAATTGTAAGCAATGTCTCCTTCCTCTCAACATAACGTAACATTATTTCTGCCCTTGTTCTCCCAACAGAGATCCGTGAGGCGTTCAAAGTATTTGACCGAGATGGGAATGGCTTCATCTCAAAGCAGGAGTTGGGGATGGCCATGCGCTCGCTGGGCTACATGCCCAATGAGGTGGAGCTGGAGATTATCATCCAAAGACTCGATATAGATGGTATGTGTATCTCTCTTTCTCTCATCAAAAGCCTGTTGCATATAACCCAACACATATACTATACAGTGACATCTTTGTATTTCCTTTAGGTGACGGTCAAGTTGGCTTTGATGAATTTGTCACATTGCTTGGTCCTAAACTCTCTGCTGCTGGCATGCCGGATAAATTCCACGGAGCAGACTTTGATTCAGTGTTTTGGAAGGTAATCATTGTAATCATTATCAGTGCTTTATAAGTGTACATTTGTCTGTTCTCTGTCCTCGTTTGAGTTAGTTCCCTTCTGGTTTTTCTGATACAAAGCCATCTGTTGCAATTCTAATTACAATACAGAAGTTACTGATGTAAAATCTAATCATTTAAACAACATTATTCCTACATTACGAATTATGCTCCTCTGACTCACTCAAAAGCACATTTCCACACAGCCTTGACATACTGTATTGATCTAATGACATTACTACACTTGCAGTGTCTTCATATCCTTGCATTTAGTTGCATAATCCAATAAATCAGTTCACCATGCGCTACCTGCCACTATTAATTGATGTCCCACAGCTGATTTGCGTCACTGAGGTGTTCTGAGACAGAAGCTCTTCCGCTGCTAATTAGACCTTTCTTGGTGTTTTATGTGTCCCCAGTGTGACATGCAGAAACTGACTGTGGATGAGCTGAAGAGGCTGCTTTACGATACTTTCCGCGACCACCTCACCATGAAGGACATTGAGAACATCATCATGACAGAGGAGAGCCACCTGAACAGCCCAGAGTCCCACGTGGACATAGACAGTAAGTTGCATACACATTTTATTACCTACATTTTTTGTATTCTGTTGAGACTCTCAGACAAGCTAATGTTTTGTCTTTTAAATCTTTCCCCAGCAAGCCCAACACAACAGGAAAAACACACATGTGTGCGTAAAAGCCTGATTTGTGCCTTCGCCATTGCATTCATCATCAGCGTCATGCTCATTGCAGCAAATCAAATGCTCCGCAGAGGAATGAAGTAAATACGCCTCCAGCTGGATACAGAGATACTTAAGAACGGACAATGAGAAATCAAACATTAATCAAAACACTTGTATGGTTTTGTTGAATGTTTTCAACACACAGCTTCTCTCTGTAATAGGTGCAATGATTTCATTCAGCGATTTTATATTGCCACAAATTGTAGCATAACCTGGTAAAAAAAAAAAAAGAAGGCATTTCAAGGGCTGATTAGTATCGGTATAGGTTGTGAATCAGATTTCTGAAGACATTATATTGGAAAGCAGACTTTAGAAGTATGTGCTTCGTAATAGATGTGATGTGTCTGTGTTTATCAAACCATTAATGTTGTTGATGAGAAGTCTGCCGTTTGGAATGCACCCAATAATGAAATTACTGAGGATAGTAATAAAGCAATACGCACGTGTTGATGCGCTGCATATTAAGTAGCTTTAATCCACTCTCAGCGTAATTGTTTTTCTTTTAAGTCTCTGTATTAGTGCCAGTATTTCCAGCCCAGAGGTCCAACTCATGTCAAGAGTAACACATCTTTACAAACCATCTGTGACCTAAATCTTAACAAAAGGAGAAGCCACATTAATTCAAAACACAAACGTGTTGAAAAGAATATTACAATTATTTCTACAACTGTTTAACCATGGCTTCATGGCTCTTGGGATGGCAGTCGATAGTTCATCACTTTGGTCTAAACTGTATGGATGTCATTCTGAACAGACACTCATTGCTCCCAGGGAAACAATGCAACTGACTTAAGTAATGCCCTGATTTTCTCCGTAAAACCACCAGCAGACCTAAGTTTTCTTTTGAAAAATCTCAACATCTACAGGATGATTTATCAAAAGATGTAGTAGAGACATCTATGGTTCCCAAAGGATGCACCCCCATGACTGTGATGATGCTCTGAGTGTGTCTCAGGATGAATTGTGATGATTCACTGACATCTCATATATCGTAATGTTCAAATCAAGCTCAGCTGTACTTTGCGCTTTGTGCTACTATACATCAGCATGTTAGTATTGTCAGTATTGGCCCGTGATATTCAAAAACAAGTCAGGAAAATAGTGTTTCTCCAAAGTTTCTATTGTGACGTTGAGAAGCCCTACATTTGGAATAACTGGTGAACAGCACTGTTATCTGGAAAAGAGAGGGTTTGGAAGACATGTGGACACAGCCGGTAACCCTCCATTCAGCTGAGCCCAAAAGCCCTTTCTAAATAAATCACAGCAGACTAAAACATTTACTGGTTTGATTTGAAGCAGAGAGCTGAGCTCAGTGAGATGTATTGGCTGAGAAATTGAGATGAAAATGAAACAGCTGTTTCACAAAAAATGTAATGGAGTAGATTTAAGAATCAAGCTGAAATGTTTCATCCTCAAAATCTGCCAGTGATACATGCACAAAGCTGCATATTTCAAATGTGTGCAATAACATCCAAAAAGAGACATAATGTGTCACAGGAAAGACAAGTGATTATCTGAGCTAGCAGCTGTAAATAGCGTTAACCATTACAAGTCAGATGTTTAGACAGAATGACACATGACGATAAAGGATAATCAGTTCACAACACTTGCATGTACATTAAAAGTATATTCTGTGTTCAATGTGTTTGAGATCAAATGTTGAACCCTAGTGTATGTATTGAAATAATTATGCAATTTGTATAGTAATCATTGCAAAAATCTCAGTATTTGACATTTTCCTGTAAATGTCAATTTTTGTGGACGTGCAGACCATATCAAAAATACTAAATACTTTGGAGTATGCTGTGAAGAATAATTTAACATATCATAAAAAATGTTGTTTTCTGGTTTTTACATGGACCACCAAAACAACATGTTTAAAGTATAACATGGTTATATTTTCTTACTTGGAAAAGTGATACATTAAATCTATGTGATTTTATTGAATGTAAGCATAATGTTTTTTATAAAACAAATGATACAAAAAAAAATATTTCAGGTTTCTGATATAATTTCCAGGTCGACTGGACATTCAGATGCAAGTAATTGTGTGTCACACACTAACATTAAAATTTCTTATTTGGTAATATTCATTTTTCCAAATGTTTTATCAAATTTCTGTTGAATTCAACAAGTTTTACAAATTGCTATATATTTTTTTTGCTCTTTTTATCTTGAAGTTTATCAAAGCTATATCACGAGAAGAACGTACGAAACAGCGAGTATCATTCTGGCAATAAAACAGATATTTTATCTCAAATACAGTAGCTGTTTATATATGAACTTCTAATATGACATCACATTACCTTTTTATGTGAACATCATGTAAGGTAGGGATTTTGTGTGAATGTAAAATATAGTTATTGTGTCAAATATTGTCTTAAGAGATATAAGCAATTATGGTGTCCTATTCTGTATGTTACAGTGCTTTAATGATCAGATGTATGTGCACTCTGTTCAAGGATTGTCTTTATTGTTATTACTTTGATTCAGACTGTAGTGTTCTGTTTGTGCCTTTGTCTTTGGAAGTAAGATCTGCGCTCTCATGCCTTGACTTAGAGTAACTTTAGAAAACTTCTAAGAAGAAATGTAAGTCCATTTTACTAAATCATTGCTTAAGACAAAAATGAATCTGATGTATTTTCTAACTGAAATGACTCATTAGTAATTCAATTACCAATAAATATTGATGTATTAGCTTTCTCTCTTCCATGTTCTTGGTAAAGATCCCTCTCTCACTTCTGGTTAATGATTGTATCACCCTGCTGTTGACATTACTAGTAATTTAATGTTTAGATTGAGAATACCAAGCGCTGTTTTATTTCTGTAACCTCCCATGTAGAGGTTACTGCATCAAATATACACTACTGTAAGTGTTGGCTGGATGCATGTATCCAATAAAAAAACAAAGGCACTTAAAGGGGTTTGCTGTTTTTTTTCTGTGTACAAATGTGACCTTTGTTGCAAATAAAAGGAACATAAGACCAATCTAGAAAAAGAACATTTACTGTGAACAACAGAACAACATAATTGATACTAACATCAAGTACAGAGAATAAGTGGGTGCTAAAATCCAGGATTTTAAATAAATCCACAAGTTGACAACTTAAATGACTAAATATGAGTTATTCAACTTTTATAGCCTAAACCCATATTAAAATGCGTCTTTTAGAGTATTATCCAAAAATATGTTATTCCTAAATCTGTGTCTCTCTCACCAACATGCACTGTGTACTTGTGATATCCATCAAACTTTTTGTGTGCTTTTTTCCTCATTAAAGATTCCGAAAAACTTTTTCTAAATGTTGATACAAAAGATAACTCACAGTTTACATTCATGTTTGCTTTCTTCTTCACTCTCTTGGTTGTGCATCTGTTCTCATGTGTATATGATAGAACAAAACAGGGCCCCTTTAAAGTCAGAGAAATATTCTGGCCAAGAAAGCAGATTAATAGTTAAATAAAATAATACAAAACCGAAATAAACTTAACGCAATGAAATTCAGCAAAACCCATTATGAGAAATACATGAAAGGGACTTTATAAAGGCCAAAGACAATTACATTGATCATAACATTTGAAATGCGTTATGATAACTATGAAAGCTTTTAGAATACAAATGAATCGAGATCATTAGGTTTGCCATCTTTACTATTTAGGAAGTAGAGTGGTGTTTTGGTGCTGGCTGGGTTGTAAATTAAAATCAGACAGATCATTGATTCCCCCGCTGACGTGGCAGAGGATTAGAAATTAACAAAAAAATCATTTCCATCTGCTCAGCAATGCTCCGTTCTTCATGACATCAAATGTAACTCCTTAGGGGAGTCTCATGGTAAAGGCACTCGACTTCACATTAGCGAAGCAATCAACAACAGACTGCCAAAATGTCAATCATGAGATTCATTATGCACCGCCTGTATGTCATTCCAGGTTTACCTTCCTATGAATGAATCAATTAAATATCTCATTTAAAACTACAAAAGACATCTCATATGTATTCTGTACATTTCATTCTACCAATGTTGCACACCAGCTTAACAGCGATGTGAACCACAAAGTGAATATCAGTCAGCCCCATTCTGAGTTCACTTTGCCTTTCCACCCGCTGGGAGGAGGAGGAAGAAGAGAGGGTGGGAGGTCATGGACGGAGAGGAGCTGTGGAGGTATGTCACTTTCTTCTTGGACCTCTTCACTGACGTCCTTATCTTTTAGATCTCTGAAGAGATAAATAATTAAAAAGTTGAATTTGAAATGAAGACGAATCATTAGCAATGTATGGATAAGCGTCAAAACAAAAGGTGAAGGTACATACCCCTGGTTACCGAGGGCACTTCGCCTCTTTTCCCTTCTGGAGAGCCAGTCCTCTACACAGCGCCCCGGCATCCTGCTGTCTACAGCACCCTCTCTGAGACGTCTTTCATCTGAAAGAATTCAATCGTACTCCTGTCAACTAGAACCTGCCACATATTTTAATAATCAAGTGTCATTCATGCAAAATACTGTTTGCATCATCTTAAATTGGAGAAGCCTTGCTTTTCCTCAGTTTAACATAATATTATACTGAATTAATTTTAGTTTTGGAGTGACAAAGTCCAAAACATTACTTTGGACTTGAGAAAAAGACATTTTTCACTATTTATAAATATGATTGATGATGATAACAATCATTTCTTGCAGCCATACTGTCAGTCGATCACGATTCAAAGTCAGCTGGACCAAATGTGCTTGGCAATTTAGTGTATAATATTATAATTTTTTAGGGAAGGCATCAGAAAATGCTAACCCTAGGTACCTTTTGTTGAAGAGGGTTTAAACTAGGGATGCCAGCGATTATTTAATTTTTCGAATATTCGTTACAGTCTCCATAATCGAAAATTATTTTTTTAAATTCGATTTTATTTATATATTTTTTTATTATTATTTATGTTTTTCTTTTTTTTCCTGGCTTAGTTTCAACCAAAATATAGACTAATGCTAATAATAGTATTAATAATTGTAAATGGCCATTGGTCACACCACCAGTTTGTTTTACTGTAAACTTGGAGGAAGCCAGCAGCGCAGAGTGCAGACTGCTGCACTCTGCACGGCGGCGGCGAATAATCGATTAATATTCGCCAGGGCTGTCCGATTTTCGAATTTGATCATGGTCAGTTTCTGGCATCCCTAGTTTAAACCTTCCTTATGCAGGATTACATTTAAGATATTAAAAATATGCAATGTGTTGGCCATTGGTAACATGGTTGTTAAATATTGAATGACCACCTACTAATTCAAGAATTATTTAAATAATATTATATATAATTGCCAATGCCATGTGTATTAAATGTGTAGCACATTGTTTGTGAGGAACTGTGTTGATTTCATTTAAAAGACATATCTTAATCACATGGTAAACATCATTTCCATTTGTTTGCAGCTTACCTTCCACCTGTCTTTGTAGGTGAAACATATCTTCTTCAGACATGTGAGAAAACCTGCAGTTAGGGCCGAAATCACATATTCCTGAAAAAGGACAGGGAAAATAATAATTATTACAATAACAAAACATGCATTTAATATAATTTCCTGGTCATTGGATAAATGTATGGTTGAATTGCTTTAAGTTACCTTTTTGGAGAAACTTCCTGCAGGGTTTCTTTAATTGCTCATCACACAGAATAGCTGAGGAGTCTGTAAAAACACAAATGATAGTGTTGTTAATGGCTGTATACATAACCTTCCATCATAATATAAGCAGATGGCCAGCCAATATGACATAATGAAATGTAAGCAAGCTTAATTCTCCAATCAAAATCTCAAATAGGTTGAAGGAATAGCATTCTAAATAGTAATTTGTAATGTTTAGGATCACTGTCTAGTCTAAAACAAACATTTACAATCACATCTCTCTCAGGTCTAAGGACAAACTGCAAGTCTCACCTCTGAAATAGTCGTACCAGGCCTTTTTAGCTCTGTGATGCTGAACACCAAACAAATGTTTCTTCCTGTTGTGCATGTTGTCCTGAAAGGACCGGTCACAGTAGTCACAGTAATATCTCCTTCCCATGGTGCAGGTTATGTGCTCAAACCAGCAAGAGGTCACCTTTTAAATGGCTATGGACAGTAAAGAGAAACAAAACACATTGCCATAACTGCTGGGTCACAACATGGTGAGAGAATAGCTGTGCTGAATTAAATCTTTCTGTATCGTATATTAATTGACTGTCATTGTGCACAAACTAATCTATTAACAAAACATGTGGTCTGTCCAGAATAAAGGGTGTTATAGTTCAACTGCACGTGTACAATTAACTATTATGTTGTTAATCCATTACTCAACTAATCTCTTCAGGACTGAAAAGCCCCCACAAAAAATAAAAATGCCATCCTAATACAGTTAAAATGACATAGCCGACCCAATTTACAATTCACATGTCACAGAATTCTTTTTTTTTTGCAATTCAGAATTTCGCATCAATGCAAGTTTGTTAACATCTACATATAGCAATTAGGATGTCATATGGTTGTTTACTTTCGGATCACATACTGTTATAATTTTTTTGAAAAAATATGGCACAATGCTTAAAATGATTAAATGGGAGGCAAAAACAGGAAACAACCTGATCTAGCCTACAATAAAGAACACCAGGAACATTATCTAACGTTTACTGCCATCTGCTGGTTTGGTCATGGAAGTGCCTTTATTTTTAATAGTATCTGGTATGACTTCCTATTTCACTGTGATGATACAAATATGAACATAATAAAGGTGAAATATTCTGAAATGTAAACGTGCAGTTTGATGCTCATGTAAACTCTCCCCCAATAAGCAAACGATAACATCCATAATAATTGGCTCATAGCATTGTTCAATCCGAATAGTTATTTTAACGTTACATGCTTATTGTGACATCCGTAAACGTTAAACCCTGTGTATATTACATTTAAAAGTCAAATACAACAAACCATTGGCGAACCATGATGTCATCCTCCGTGCTATTTGCTTTGAATCCACATTATGTAGCAAACTGACGTGAAAAACAATGAAATCTTACAGTAATGCTATGCTAATCGTTTGCTAACCATTCCCCACTGGGGATACGGTGTCTTCGCAGGATCAAAAAGCGAATCGACCCACTCTTGGGCCGGAACCGTGTCACCTCAGCTTCCGTCAATCCACCGAAGACATGTCGCTGGCTAAGTCCGTCTACAATCTGCTCTTCAGGAGAACGTCCACTTTCGCCGTGACCATCATGGTTGGAGCGGTCTTCTTTGAACGACTGTTTGACCAAGGTGGTGACGCAATCTTTGAGGAAATGAATCGCGGGGTAAGTGTTTCATTTTGTGTTATAATGCCGGTGTTATCCTGACCTTGCAAGCAGAGGGCGAAACAGCGCTAGTGTTAGCTAAACTAACCTAGCCTCCCTGCTAAACCGAGCATTTGCTTCCTTTTTTTACAAACTATTACAACCTTCATAAATATTGTAACCTACTTACCCTAACTACCAGGATATATTTTACATTGTGTGCACTTTTTTAATGTATATAGTACACTATCTGTATACGTTTCTGTCCCTTCAGTAGATTGGTATTTTAGAGAGTATTCTAATGTATTCTGTATTTAATAGTGTGTAGAAACTCTTCTTAATATGTATTTTTTCTAATGAGAATATATATATATATATTGTTTTTATTTTATTCGACTTTTAACAATTGTTGTCATTCTTGTACATTGACAGTCAAAATGCTTCTGTGACAAAACCATTTCACAACTTGGGTAGTATCTGTCTCTGTTCACATGACATTTCTAACGTTGCCTTATATGTACTTATTTTTTAGAAACTGTGGGAACACATCGAACACAAATACGAGATCAAGGAGGAGGAATAGGTCGGGTTACCTAAGGCTGAAGTGCAACTGTTGTCACACTTCCATTCTCCATTCGTCCTGGACTCCACACCTGAATCAATCATCAGTCAACATGGACAATGTGCTCAAAAGTCATGCCAGGTGGGACCTGTGAGAGCCGCTAGACTGTCCAGACCACCTTGAAGATGGAGCAACGGTTCCTGTCACCTCGTCCCCTCCTTCCTGTTGTTAGAGGTTATGTCTACGTTCCCCCCACATATTGTAAATGCTTAAATTAAACATGTTAATGACGTACAAACCTTGCAATGTTTTTGATTTATCATATGGCTTGCATATGTCAAAGCATCTTAGATTAGTTACACTGTCAAAGTACTTTTGTTTGACTTACTAGCATTTTCATAAGCACCCACTCTAGCCACATTAGGTAATCTAAAATGGATCAGCTTCAGATCAAATGAGTATTTTGTAGGGCTGCTCGATTATGGCAAAAATCATAATCTCGATTATTTGGGTCAATAATTAATATCACGATTATTAAAAACGATGATCCATTTACTTTGAAAACATCAATTTAATTGGAGTTATCTATTTTTTTAACAGTATGTTTTTAACAGTTGATTACCCTGAACTTTAAGTATAATTCAACTGAAAAACCAATTTTTAAAAAAAAGTAATAATAATCATTTATTTCGATTACGTTGTTTTCGTAATCGTTGCAAGTGATAATCGTAATTGCGCAGCCCTAGTATCTTGATAAAATGACTGAGAAGGATTTATAGAATTATATAGTTATTGAGTCTAGTCTTTATTATAAAAGTATTCAGTAGTTGTATACATTGTGTCCCCTTCATGTCAACAGTTTTATGCATATTTAGTGTCATTTCAAAGATAAGGTTGTACAGCTTGGTTCTCTGGTTTTAAACATAAAGGGGAACTAAAAATGATAAGTACAGAAACAGAACTCTGTACTATAATGAAAGAGCTATATGTTTTTAACCAATCCTAGTTTCCAATAAGCTGTAATTCCTTAGTTCCTCACCCAGTAGCGTTTATACCAAAGAATAAACATAATGCTTGAATGGGGCTGAGATATGCAGTTAAATTGTATTTTATTAAAACAGGCTATACAAAAAAAACATGAATGAGAGGTAACATTTGTATGGACCATTTTCATACAAGGAACATATTAAAGCTGGCTGCTAATTTTGGCCCAAACAAGAACAAGTATTATATAGAAACGGTAGCTGCCACCTTTTAATTTTCAATGTCAAACAATGCCTGTCAATAGTGAAGACATCTTGTAAACCGGTCAGGGTCAGGTAAGGCCACGACTGTTCAAATCAATTGCATGTAACTGCACCTGAGACTCAGGCCTATAGGGGGCACACTAGCAATGTCTGTCCCAATGAATGAGAAGAACACATTTAAAACAACATTATAGTTACTTAGCACTGACTGTATTATGTCCCATCCTGGTATTTTTCCTGCGAGCTAAACAAAAACGTAATAATTCGCCCTTGCAGTGGACATATTATAAAAGCAAATAAGCTTTACACATTAGCGCTGTGATACATATACATCTCAAGTATCATATTATTTCAAAGGTAGGTACAATAACAAAATGGACTCCAGCTTGCTGCTAAAGTAAACACGTAAAACAATTTAGTCCAATTCAATCTCCAAAAACGGTATCTTTGAACCAACCCCATAGTCTAGTCAGCCACAGGCTTACGCCCAGCTGTGACAAGTATTGTATTTCAGGTGTGAGCATTTTTTCACAGATTTCCCTGTATTGTGGATCAATAATTTGCTTCACGTTGTACCCAAGAATGGAAGACTCTCCAACGGGCTGCCAGGGCAGGAAACGACTGTCGTGAATATTTTGAGCTTCCACTGCACCTCCATCTTGAATACAGATGGCCTTCATCTCTGCATTTCTTCTCCTGAGCTCTTTTACCTCTTGTTTCATTCTTTCTCTCCCATACGCCTCAACTCTTGCCCAGAAAGTAGCATTAAAGTGCTGATAGAGTCTCCAGTCAGCCCCGTTCCACTGTAAAGCTTTGGCTCTCAACTCTGGGGTCAGTCGAGATACAGATGATCTCCTGCGAGCATTGAGTTTAAAATACAGTATGTCCTCCATGGTCCAACACAGTGTGTCCTTGAGCAGGATAAGTGACTCATCAAAATATTCTGCTACAAGAACCAAATCAAAACGTGTTGATAACTTATGAATATCCCTCACTACACGAGGATCATCACCCTCCAGGTTGTTGTCAAAACCAAAGTCAAAAAAGAGCAGATTTTTGAGGTAGAATGAGTTGAAAGCCTCTGGGCTGTAGAAGGTGTGAGGATTGTTCAAAAACTCCACCAGTTGGTTCTCTCCATTGATCTTCCATGTGAGAGGAACTGCTCTGCGGTAATAATTGAAAGATGATTCAAAGAGATCCACCGGGTCACGTAAGATGGTGATGTAAACAGCATCTGGAGGCAGGAGCTTGGCTACTTCCTGATGGTCAAAGCGCATGTGGTTACAAACAATGTTGAAACAGTCTCCAGGCCTGTAGTCCTTCACCTGGGAGCAGAGGAAAGGTGACGGGTAGAAGAAGTCATTGCGGCCATCAGGGAAGGCGAATTTAAGCTTGTGCTTTTCTCCAAATCTGAAGAGGATGTTGAGTATGGTGCTGCTGGCAGTTTTGTGGGTTTTCATGAACATGATGTTTACTTTGGGGGAGCAAACTTCTGACATGCTGAGAGATGGTGAGCTTACATTTTTCGTCAATAATTTCACCATACTTAGAGGACATGTGTCTTGCTGGGAGTCCCTGTGAATAAAATATACGGGTAAACAAACAGATGAACTGATTTCACAAAATAAAGAAAGGCTTTACTTTAAAATCCTTACCTAATCTTAACTTGGGTTGGGTTCGTGAGGCAGTACAGCAACAACATGATGTTGGTCAATAAAACCGAGAGAATCAGCCTCCTGGTTATACGTGTGCACTTCTTTCCTTTGATGGCAGACATCACTAACACCCAAACAAGGACCTGGAAATAAAATGAAAGGGCATGCATGTATAAAGGACAATAATAACAGGATTCAAAGTTTCTATACACAAACCCATGCTGCACTATGCTGTGAAGTGTTTTTCTCATACAACAAAGCTACACAAAGCTCATAAACACTTGTAATACCCTGGAGAAATTCTTACACACAGGCCAACTAATAACGCCCTTAGGTCACTGCAAAGTAATGATAATGCAATTGTAGAGAGTCCAGGCCTAATCCATTTCAATTTTATATAACCTATTAATTTCTAACAGAAATAAGAATAACTTTATAATGAAAAGGCAAAATGAACATAGACAAGAGATCATGCTGATTAGCAAAAAACTGCTGCATCATTCTTTCTCTCATAATAGCTCACATGTTTATACTATAAACATGTTTACAGTGCTAAAATTCCCTTAGCAACACAGATGGAGAGAGAAAAGACACACCAACATGAAAACTACAGTTAAGGTACAAGCATTTTATAACAGTAAAAACTGATATTGAAAAAAAGGGGACAATTCTAACGTTTCTACAATTCACACTGAACAGGTGCTTACTTATTATATCAGATAGGAACGGTACAGTATGACCCTTGCCATAACAGCTCTGATTCTTATCTCTAACATTGATGTTCATTTTTCACTTGTTAGGCCCCCTTCGTTGAAGATATCCTACATGTGCATGTCCCATAGACATAGAGTTGTTCTAATTAATTAGGGAATTAACTTGTTGAAAGCTTATACAAAAATGCAATATGTCCTTCCTTGAGATAACAACTCTGTAGATCCATTATCCTTAAAACCAATATTAACTTATCTTGATAACCAAATAAGCTAGGATATTAACAACACTGTAAATCCAAGAAGGATATAGCATATGGAAATAAGAAAAAGGAAAGAGATTTTTTTTACCTGCAGATGACAATGTTGGAAGTGTCGATGTGAGTATTTTCTGCAAGGTGAGAGAAACTACTCTGTGAAGTCTTATCTGATTGGCTGTGAAGACTGAAGGAGTCAGATGTGATTTCTCCTCCCACAGGGGCAGAACTGGTTTGTAAAATAGTCTACACACTTCCAGATCACTATGTCCTGTACCTTTTGAGGTATGCACAATGGGGTTGAAGTGGAGGTTGGCAGGAAAATAATTCCTTTAAAGTCAAGTATCTTAGTACCATGAGGCCAAAACACCTGGCTATGTGTACAGAGCATGCATCAATGCCAATACATCAATGCTTTGTTTTAAATAATACAAATGTATAATGTACAAAGTTGAGGCACAGAAACAGAGCAGCGGTTCCCAACCTGTGGGCTGCGGCCCGAACGCATTGCAAGTGGGCCGCCAAAAAATGTGCAGAACATTATGATTTGTATGGAAACATTTCATTATTAAGATATATTTTTATTTGAACCTCCTTTCCTTTCTCTTTCTTGATCCTCCTTAGCAACGGTCATTACAGTCCTCGACAGCAGTCTGTACTACTGGATTAACAACGTGTCATGTTCTGAATTGACCAATCAGAACTTTATTTAGCCTCCCTATTGTTTATTGTTGAATGTGGGCCGGGAACATTTGTTTGATTCTTAAGTGGGCCCTGAGTGGAAAAGGGTTGGGAACCCCTGCTTTATAGTCTGTTTAGTTCATTTTAGGCCACGGTTGTGTTTTCATAACAGTGAAACTAGTATCTGTGCATAACATCTATCTGCACATAGAGCACACCCAGCAGGCCTGCTCGTTCTCATCACAGCTGTGTGTTGTGGTGTTTTTTTCTTTCTTTAGTCTCCAGATACCTGGTCTCAGGTGCTGTTGACTTTGGCAGGGGCTGAACAGTTAGTAGGTCACATCAGTTCTGGCCCGGGGAGTCTACGAGCGTTTCTGTTGCAATGGTCGTAGTTGTTATCATTGACTTCTGAATACGTCACTGAGGACTACCAGATAAGTGTCACTACGAGAAAATCAGGATTGCGTTTATCAAGTAAGAGCTAGCAGAAGCTGGAGTTTATAGACCTTTTAAGCAAGAACAGACCATATTAAATGATTGCGTAAATCGTTACTTTTCTGTTCTTAAAGATCCTTCCCCAACAACTAAGAAATCAGCCTCTTCATAAATGTCCAACTCCAATATCTACAGTTGCAACATAAACACAATTCAGGTTTTTTTTAATGTAACTGTGTTTAATTTGCCTTATTAATTACACATATGACACATTTACACATAAAAAACAAAAACCATCAGGAAATGCCTTCAAGTAAAACCAAAAGTCTACTCAAACACTTGAGATGTGCCAGTGTTACAAGGTTAAACACTAAACAATACACGTGTAGATCATTTACATAGAAACAGCAACTTTATTAAAGACAAAGAGCTTTTGCAAGTCCAAAAATACAAAAGGGTCAACTTCGACTCAGTTTTCAATTTTATGGTTTTACCAACATTTATAAGGACAATTTACAGTATTCATTTATAGTCATAAAAACAGCAGTTTAAAATATATTTTCCATTACATTCAATCAACCACAAACCAGATATATTTACACAACCATTTCTTTTGAATTACAACAAAAACAAATATACTTACAGGCAGTTTCCCCTCCAATGCACATAATGCAACATGTCTGACAGTTTGGGCCTGACAGATGTTATTGAGGCTTGTTTTTGGAACAAAGAGCACAAACTTTTATATTTTTCTTCTTTGAATATCTGCCGCTGTTGGCGCTGTTGAGTTCAGACAAATATGAAATCATAACCATCGTACCCATGTCCAGTATTAAAGCACAATAGGTGTTATTGATCCTCTAAAAATGGAGCAGATAAAGGTGAACAGTTTACAATAAGAGACTAAGTCTTTAATTGTGGTTAAGTTATACAATGAGATACCGTATTATCAATAAAAGATGCTAAGTACGGTATTTACAATCCCCTCAGAGAAGTGTACAAGTGTTATAGTCGCTGACTGACATTAAAATGTTACCATTTAAAAAAACTTAGCCCCCCTCTGGTTGGCATACATACATTTTTGAGGTCATTCAGAGTTATCCTAGTCAAATAGACACAAATAAATCATCACTTGTAAATAGAGCATCACATCAATGTTTCATTATGGCACTGTTTTTTAAAATATAAATATACTGCTAAATGCAAAAATAATCTCCATCGCAAACTAAATCTCAGTAAAACTGCAAAACTTTCCTCGGTACTGTGCAACCTAACCAGCCAGGGAAACACATTACTCTTCCTCTATGAAGCGCCGTTAGCCAGTGGAATGCTTACAGACATCCTGCAGGTAGTATGTTGTGGTCAGGTGACTCAGTACACAGGTTTGTATACAATCTGTCCAGCCAGCACTCTGCGTTTCAGCTCGGTCCACAGCAGGCTGCGCTCTCTCTGCGATCCCTTCATGAAGCCTCGGTTCTCCTGAGCGCGGCGCGACAGATACGGCATGACCTCGTTGACGGGGCCATATGGAACGTACTTGTAGACCGGGAAACCTGCTTGACCTGTTTTCAAAAAAGAGGCGTGTCTTAGATCTGTGTTCAATATATCCACCCTGTGTGCATTTCATGTTATGGCTTGGTTTATATCCACATTGACAAAGGTTCATACATTTAATGGTGCTGCAACGTAACTTGGGTGGGAGGCTGTAAAACTGAATTAATGTTAACTCTGTAAACTGGAATAATGCTGCAGTAGATTAACACATTATCTTTTTCATTTGGAAATACATGTATGCTGAGACAATATTGTCTCACTAGCAGAAGAAAGGTTGGGTTAGTTTTTTTTCTAAATGAAAGCCCAGAGGCCTTCACTGACATTAGTTTGAGTTTGAATTAGAGTAGAGAAGTACCTAATTTTATGTAATTTGTGTCTCGCTTGCACATTTGAAGGCTGACGTGTATGCGTGCGTGTGCGTGCGTGCGTGCGTGCGTGCGTGTGTGCGTGTGTGTGTGTGTGTGTGTAGTTTACTTTTAGTAACTGAGCTGAGTTCGACATACCTAGCGGGAAGCTAATCTGGTCACACATGCCGAGCAGCTGTCCAAAGTAAACCTTGTTCTCGGCGGGAGAAAGGCCCATCTCATTCATTCTGAAAAACAAAAAGAAGAAGCATACAAATGAAAAGGCTGTTATACAAACAGAGCTTAAGTGTGGCATTCCACCATTGATTGGCAATATCGTTCTGTAAATCCTATAAATGTCTTGGAAAGTTGACAAAGACATTTTTGGCTTAATTCAACATCCTGGGTATTACCGTAATTTTCGGACTATAAGCCGCGCCTTTTTTCCCATTTTTCGACGCTGTGGTTTATATAACGGTGCGGCTAATCTATGGATTTTTACAGCTAACGGCCACTAGGGGACCTCCTAAATCTATGGGTTTTACAGGTTACAGTCCACCACCTTTAACTCTATGGGCTCTATGGCCGGTCCGCGCCCCCCACCTTTAAACGGCGGGCTCAAGCAGGAAAAGCTGGAGGCCGGAAAAGAGTGAGACAGGTAGCGCGCANCTGAGTAAGGACCCTCTGAAGCGTCTGTAGTATCAGAGGCAGTGGCGTTAAGGAATACAGGAGACTGTCCGGCCAGTCGTGCGCCAGAGCGTCCTGACCCATCGGGCTGGTTTTATTCGGCTCTGTCCAGGAGAACCAGAGGGGGCAGTGCCTCGACTCTTCCGAGGCAAAGAGGTCCACCTCGGCCCTGCCTTAAAGGCTCCAAATTGTCTACACCACCTCTGGATGAAGCCTCCACTCCCCCGGTGGAGGCTTTTGCCGAGAGAGGAAATCTGCGACCTGATTCTGGTCTCCTGGTAGAAAGACTGCCCGCAGACTGGCCAGGCGGGGGAACGCCCAAGACAAGAGGCTCTGTGAAACCCGGAGCAGCTGTGCGGAACTGGTGCCCCCCTGGTGGTTGATTTGGGCCACAGCAGACATGTTGTCTGAACGAACGAGCACATGCTTGCCCGCCAGTTGGGGTAAAAAGTGCATGAGTGCTAGCAGCACAGCCCGAAGCTCTAGCACGTTGATATCGTGCACCTTCCTGGGCGGACCACTGACCCTGAGCAGTCCTGCCCTGCCACACTGCACCCCACCCTGAGAGACATGCATCCACAGTGACAGTCTCCCGGCGGGATGGGATGGCATGGCGTCCATGGGCCCTGAGGCCGAGGGCACCTTGCATCAGACCTTGGAGCCTCATCAGGAGCCAGAACCGGGGAGGCGATGGCAGGCTCAATGGATGGCAAGCGACCAAGCCCCACCCTCGCCGATATAATTAAAACCAGTTAACGAACGTTTGTATTTTGTTGCTCTACCCAATCATAACCAAGTGTGGTTATATAACGTTATCTAACAACACAAAGGACAGCGTTGAAATGCTCTATTTCGGGTGTAATGCGCTCACATAGCTAGTCTAAAATCGTGATCAAGCATTCCAACCGAAACGCTGTAGGCTACAAGAATGTAGCCACGGTACTCTCGCGCAGCGAGAAGATGAAAGGAACAGATCCTCTGACGACACCGGCATGTATAGCCGGTGTCACGTGGGTCACAGGTGACTTTGTTGTTATTGGTACTCGAGCTGCGCATGTGCGCAATGGACATATCCAGTGCTAAAGCACCGCCTCTGGCGGTCAGTAGGGACGAAATAGAACCATATTTGTCAGACTGTAATGTTTTGAGACAAAACTCCGGGGATATTTGGCATGGCGACTCATTTACCTGCACATGATGTTACGCAGCTTGTCCAGGTTCTCAGTAGTGAAGTACCAATTAGCTCTGTCGCAGCGTCGGACATCTTTGTCAATGCGATGCAAGTTGATCAGGTACATATCCAGTGTCTCTTGCTACAACAATAATAGAAAATTCTGTTAGTACGTGCTAACGATCAGAATCAGAATCAGAATACCTTTATTAGTCCCACAGAGAGGACATTTACATTTTTACAGCAGAAAAGAGCCAAACAGCTTAATGTTACCTAAGTAGCATGCATAAAAAAAAATATTAAAGATTAAAAAAATATATACGGTAATCAAAACAGTTACACAATTTACAAAAAAAACATCCTGTAACAATCCTGAGGATTTAGCTGCCAGGTATATATTGCACAGTTATTAACGCCATATATATATATATATATATTGCAAATATGCACAAAACAAGTATGTCTGTAAATGATGTGTATTGCTTACAGAATAGGTTTGTTCTTCTGAGGATTCGTCCAATTTGGGGCCTCCTCCTCCGACCTCTGCAGACTCCGGTTCAGCGAGCACATTTTCCATCTCGGGCTCCTCCTCAGAAAGGCCCGGGTCGGTGCCCTCAGGGCTGGTGTTGCAGGCTGTGTCCAGATGGTGATCTTGGACAAAATCCTCTGATGCCATTTTCAGTCTTTGCGCAAGAGAGACAGGGGGTGCAGAAAGGCCAGTCAGAGGCCTAGAACTGATATCCTCAGAGGTCACACATGTCCCTGCAGGTATGTCCTCCATTTCCAGGGCAGAAGGAGAGTCGTCTGAATCTGCTGTGTCTGGAGACTGCCGAGAGTGGGACGGTAACGAAAGGCTGCCCCTTGACGCTGACTGGAGAGCGTTCAGTACTTGTCTGACAGGTGAAATTGAACCAGGTTTCTCAAATTGAATATCTGTAGGTTTGTCTTTTTTGATTTCAGTTGAGTCACAAACTGTTAATTCAGCATCCTTTCTCTCTGACTCTGTGGTACAGGCCTTTTTTTCAGAAGTTATTTCCGGTTCTTCACTTGTGTCTTTTTCTGCTGCAGGCGGACATTGAGGCTCCACGTCCAGTTCTTTGCTCTTTTGTGCTTGAAAAGCCAAGGTCTGCCCGAGTGGAGGTGCTTGGAAATATTCATTAGTAATCTCTGTCTCTAGTTTAAGAACATTTGTGCTCTCTGGAACACTTCTTAAATTCATATTTGTGTCTACTACTTTCAAGTCTTCCGACAGCTCACTCATTGAAATATCTTTATCTTCTACTTTAGGTTTTTCTTCAGATTCAGGTGTTTCTCGTGATTTACTGATTCCACATTCCTTAACCTCACCTTCTGAAACAGTCTCCATCTTTGTCTCTAACACCTCCTCCTTGGCTACTGGGTCCTTTACATCCTCTTCCTGTGATGCAGTTGTTTTTTCATGTAAGACTTCTGATTCTTCCACTGACGGCTGAGCGGTTGCGGATCCAGCAGCTGACTCTGTTACAAGAGGGCTGTTTTTCTGATTTGTCAGACCCGGAGAGGAGGGGCTGCCGGAGGGAAGCTTTGGGGCATCTGCAGTGCCACTTTTGATATCCTTCAGTGGACTACTGTGCTGTATTTCTGTTTCCTCAGCTTTGGGTTCAGCTTCAATCTGATCCACTGTCTCAACCGATCCAAATACCTGGTGACAAAAGAAACGCAGTGAATATGCAGTACATTTTGCAACCAGGCTCAATGAAAAGGACACATGTTGAGGCGTTATACCAGTGCTTTTAGAGTTAGCCCAAAAGCTATAAATCATACTGTATATACTACTGATGGAAAATGTTCAAGGAATACTATATGTTTTAAGAATGATTTCCAACCTTCCAGGTAGCTTTTGGTTAAAAATGTATTTCAATGTACTTTTTATATCTAACAATGTCCTATCTAATCCTTCACATTTAACTTTTGGTAAAATGTTTTCCTTTTTACATCCAAGTTATATTTTAAAACAGGTTATGACACTGCAGCAGACAGTTTTTATTTCTAAGTTATCGATTATTTAAAGATGTAAGATGATTTATTGCAGTTCAATTTGAATGAAACGTAGGAAATCTATAGAGTTATGATCAAGTGTTGTAAGAAGTGAGATTACATCTTTTACATGAAGGAAACATACTGAACATCATTACTGTTTTGATCTTCATTCCCATGAGAAAGTACCTGTGCACTGTTGCTGGAATCACTTTGTGAGGTGGCACTCTGTGGATCTGAGCTGCTACATAGAGACGACTGTAACGGAGAGAGCATCACACGGACAAAAAGCGAAGCTGTCAGCCAACTTTCCCAGAAATGACCTCAAAATGCTTTAAACAGTTATCTTCTGCCGGTTGAAACTAGTTACATAATGCAGCACATGCCATGCAAAAAAGGTCAAACTTGCATCTGTGCTGATGGTGGAGTCCCGCTGCACCGGGCCTCTCTCCACACTGGCTGACAAACATCTGGCAATGGCCTCGGCATGCTTCTCCTTCTCCCTCTGAAGAACGATGGCCTCGCATCCCTGCCACTCCTTCATCTTCTGCTCATACATGATCCGCATCTGCTCGTCAATCTGAAAAGGAAACCTTGTGTCAACAAAGATTGTAACATTCCCAATGGTGTATATGTGTAATTCACACAGTCTCAGTCTTCAAATAGCTAATCAGAATACCTCTTGTCGGCATTTGGCAGTCATGGTGAACTGGTAGTGTCCCAACAGGAAAGGCCAGACCTCTTTGCGTAGTGAAGGAGCCACACCACCATAATACACAAGCCTGTGTATCTCCTCTTCCTCAAACGCCTGAACAAGATGAACTCTGCTATTTATCAATCATCAAAAAAGTACCATTTAATACAGAAATTAATGAATACTCTTCGCTTGGTGTTTCTCTGTGTATCTTACAGAGCTGTCTTTGAGGAATTGTCCCCAGACCTCCACAGAGAGGCCTCCTCTGGAATCACAGGGCACATCAGGGTCAACTATAGTGATGTTGACCAGAGCAGAAAGGTGTATGCGAACCGTGGACAGATGCCGGCAGTATGCAAGCCCTGGAGAGGAAAGACAAATGTTTTAATCAATAAGAACTACTTTAATGATTCCCAAATCATCAAAGATAACCAACAGTTTGTTGTACTCACATCCGTAGAAAGCACGGGAGATTATCTGATACTTCATGGTGTCACAGAGGAGCTTTAAGGGAGCCCTGGTAAGAGGGGAACATGGCAAATTGAGTGTAACAGATTGATCTGAATTTATATTCGAGCCTGTCCTAGGGAAATACTCACCTTTCCTGATTACAGCCATTAGGCAGAGAGCCATCAGAAGAGCCATTCTGTGAACAGGAGGAGCATGAGGACTTTCGGGGCGTCGGTTGCCAAATGTTCACTCCCTGCTCCATCAGCTCCAGGGCCACTGCTGGAAGTTATAGGCTTTATCATTACTGATGCTACTAATACCATCATAGTTCTAATATATTTGGACATCGCATCATTATTCCTTTCTACTTAAAATACTGTGAAACTTTTCACATCCCCTAGATTTCACTACATTGTGTATATTTTTTAAATAGTATTTATTGTTTTTTTATTTAATATTTAGGTTTCTTGCACAAATTACACCTAAGCAAGTTCACTGTTTGTTGAAAACTGAGTTGGAATTAAACTGGATTCTGATGCATGTATGCAAGCAATAGGAAACACTTTTGGTGAGATGTAGATGTAGCAAACAAATGACTCTGAATGTCTATGCAAAGTCTCATTGTTGTTGATGGGACTATAACCTAGGCGGTTTCACCAACTAATCGACTAGTCGACTACCTTTACCACTAGTCGGCGCTGTAGGCCCTAGTCAACTAGTCGAGAAAAAAATGGAGGTAAATGAGGTGCTGCAAAATGCTACAAAACACGTCCGACATTCTTATGTATGGCAGTACTTCAACGAAGATGTAACCAACTCCACAGTGAAGTTCAGTTGTGTACAGCTGTACTGAAGTACAATACAAATGCATCTGCTATGCGCAACCATCTGAAGATGAAACACCCGCTGCTGACAGCTAGCACTAGCAGTAATGCTAGCACCAGTGAGCAACGGACCGGCGTCAGCACTGAACAGAGGCAAACGAACAGCAAGAAAACACGGGTCAACAGTGATGCGGATGATGAGCTACGGGATTACTGCCAGCGGACACCGCATATCCCCACAATGGATAATCCACTGGAGTGGTGGGCAGAAAACGTGCACCGCTTCCCCCGCTTTCGAGGAGCTACCTGGCTATTCCAGCCAGAAGCACCCCGAGTGAGAGGGTTTTTTCCCTGGCAGGCAACACTGTCACCCGAAAGCGGTCAAGCCTCCTTCCCTCACATGTCGATGCGTTGGTGTTCAAACCAAAAATATGGAAAGGTGGACGTTATCGTGGAGGACAGCGAATAAAGTGTTGCGCACTGGATTTACGTGGCATTTATGTAAACATCAGTTTTTTGCTGTCGATTTTGGTGAGTCCAGTTACTGTTTGTTATTTACTCAGCCATGTAACACAAATTAAAATGCAGTGTTTAATGTTACTGTATGAGTTCCAATAGAAAATACAGTTGTAAACCTCTCTTTGTGTGTCTTTATTATGACGTAACGACTAGTCGACTGCTATTTTGAAAAACGTGTCGACTAGTAAATATTGGTACACACAGGGAAATGCAGCAGCCAAAATGAGAGAAAATTAATTATAAAGATGAATTATAAATAATATATGCCTTGGGAAAACAGATTAATCTAAACTGCAATTGTCTAATCTGTAGATCAGTATTAGGAGAGTAATGCAATCGTAGATGTAATCTCTGATGATGTTTTATTAGATTAGCTCAGGGAGGCAGAGCAGGAAGATTAAAGACACTTACTGAACTCCATCTGATTGCCAGGAAAGAGGATTCGAAACACATAATCGGTTGATTCATCATCTTCCTTATCGGATACAGAATCACAGGAGCCGTGCGGACTCCTGTTTCTCAGTTTGGGGAAAACCTTTCCCTGTGAGTGGAAAAGCAACAGATTGTTTCAACAGATCATAGCTACACTTAGAATAACATGAAACAGAAGCATTCTATGAGGCAAAATTCATGCTGACCTTTCCTCTTTGATTCCAGAGAGGGGGGTCCAGCTGTCCGTGAGGTAGCAGGCCCGTCTCCAGGCAGGTGAGAAACTGGAGGATATGTCCTCCTTTTGGAAAATGTAGAGGAGGTCTCTGGATCCCATCCTGGCTCACCAAAACTACTGTCCCACCACTGTTCACTGGAGAAAATAACACAATAAATAACAATGTAAATAACTCTTTAAACTACTTATTTGGGGGCAGAAAGAAACGTAAGGGATACTGTACCTTCCTGATGACAGTGGAGGTACACAATCTCATCTAAACGAATCGTCATAGCATAATCCCAATACACACTGAAAGGAAGATGAAGGAAGCCAATGAGTAATCTGTGCAAAAGCAAGACTGTTTTTTCTTTAGGTTCATTAGCCTAACCTTTTCTCAGAATCCAGCTCCCCCACATTGCCATTCATCAGCTGATTGGGTGTCCATTTGAGTGTCATGAGGTCTGCAGTTTGATGAAGAGAAAGGTAACCTGGGATGGCCTCCATGTCGTCTTTCTGCAGACACAAGACAGAGATTTGAAATAACAACATGTCAGCTGGAGCTGTCACTATCAGATTTTGCCTACACCAATAAACACAATTTCAACATAATAGGCATAACCAAGGTGCTCTCGTGTTTCATAAAAAGTTAACATATATTCTCTGAAAAAGAGAAACACACACCGGCTGCACCAGGACATTGTTCTTTCCAAACAGAAGTGTAGTTCTGGAGTTTTGGTGGAGGGACTCAACATAGTCCCTCACCCACATGAGAGGGCGATCATCCATGCTACCACTGGACTGTCTCTTCTGGATCTGATACAGGTTAAAAACATGGAATATTTATTACACATTGTTAGGTTATTGCTGATTAGGTGATTTAAATCATTTAAGCCCTCAATATCTAACCAGGGCAGGCCGCCTGGAGGGGGAATCTTGACGACAGTGGCCGCTGTGGATTCGGTGTCGCTGCACGAGCTCATCAGCAGACGGGTCCGTCCAGAAATGGTCTGCAGTCTTAACTTTGGTGTACTCCAAAGCACAAGGGCCAACTGTAAAACAAGGTTCATCAGTTTTAAATGAGTACAAAAGCAAAATAAAAAGGTGTGTCTGTTTAATCTTCTCCACGTGAAGGTTTATAAATACCCAATAGAGATGCAAGAATTGGTCCATCCACAGGATTCAACAGCATGGCTTCTTTCTCGTAGTAGGCACTGCAGGAAACAATATTTAGAAATTAAGGATATTTTACAATTTTGAAATTCTACCCAACTTTCTGTTTTCAAACCACACATTATGGGATGTTACCATACAATAGGAGAAAAGCTGACAGAAGAACATACTTTGCTTATAAGGTTGAAAATTGTTGAGGTGCAAAAGCAAACAAGCCAAAGTAGTGTCGGAGATCATCAAGATCTCAGATCAGTGAGATCAGTTGTTACTCATCTAGTTGCATTAAAAGTAACAATACCTGCTGTTCTCCACTAAATACATGACAATCTTGTCCAGGAGCTTCTCTATCAGAGCAGTCCGGATCCACAGGTGTTTCAGTGCTTGAGGCGGGATGTTGGCCAACTTGGATTGCCGACTGCGGTCGTTACTCTGAGAAGAATTGTTCTGCTTGCTGAAAAACAGAAAAGAAACCTGACTGATGACATGTCTGTATCGTTGTAAGTGGAGCAGACACACAGGACAGAACAGGGCACCCGGGGATATTATAACCCATAGAAGGAGAACACAAAAGGGATAAATATACAGGCATGCTTATGGATACAGCAGAGAGAGGGACACGCCCCCATCGCCATCAATGGGACTATGGTGGAGAGAGTCAGCAGCTTCAGGTTCCTTGGGGTCCACATCACTGAGGACCTGACATGGACTCTTCACACTACCACCATCACCAAAACAGCTCAACAGCGGCTCTTCTTCCTCCGCAGGCTGAGGAGGTTCAACATGGACTCCAGGATACTCTGCAACTTCTACAGGTGCACCATAGAGAGTATCCTGACTGGCTGCATCACGGCCTGGTACGGCAGCTGCACCGCCCTTAATCGTAAGGCTTTACAGAGGGTGGTGAAAACTGCACAGAACATCACCAGGACGGAGCTGCCATCCATGGAGGACCTATACTCCCAGCGGCTCAGGAAGAAAGCCCTCAGGATTATAAAAGACCCCCATCACCCCAGCCACAAATTGTTTTGTCTGCTGCCGTCTGGAAGGCGGTACCGCAGCATCCGGACAAAAACAACCAGACTCAGGGACAGTTTCATCCCACAGGCCATAAGACTGTTAAACACCTGAACTGTTGAAACAACATCTGTTAAATACCTGACCTGTTGAAACATCCATAACATTAATCTGGCTGCTACTTAGAAATTATTTATCTAATATGTCATATTCCAATAACTTGCATTTAGATTCTTATTGCACTATTTCACTTTTTAAACTATTTTTATTTTTGTATTTACTATTTACCTGCACTATATTTTGTATGTGTATCTCTTTTATTGTGTTGCACTGTTGGAGGAGCCTGTGACCTAAGATTTTCATCATCATAACTACACTGTAGCTATGTTTATGACAAAATAAAACCTTGAACTTGAACCATGAACCTTGGAGATTCTTTTTTGTCCCTGGCCGGTTTGAGTTAACACCTCACCTGGTTTCAATGAGCTGTTGCATCTCCTGGACTTTGTGGCAGAGTTCCTCAGCAGGGGTAAAGCTTTTAGCCGCCTTCATGAAGAGAGCTGCAACCTTGTTACTGCACAGCAGGCCTGCTATACGACGCCTCAGTCCGTGTAGCACACAGGACTCCACTACAGCTGCATACACAAACACAGAGTATAAGTCAATATTTGATTAGGGTTTTTTTTTTTCTGTAAGACTTTATTAATGTGTTTGTTTTATTGAGGTGGAACATTTTTACTTGCCTTTTAGTATTATATTGATCACATGAGCTCAATAAAATGGCCTGAAGCCTTATATTAAAACAATAAATGGTGAAAATTAGCACAGCTGATACAAATAATCTTCCCAACAGTGTCTTCCGTTGCTAGGATATGAAGGATGTGAATCACATAAGCCTCAGTCCTGGTTAGTATCAACACCTTTAAAGGGTGCTAGTCTACTGTATTACATATCACATATAAATAGACATGACTAATAACATTTTGAAAATAAATTGTCAGGGATTGCATAGCTTGAACAGTCTGTGAAGGCCCATTTTGCACTATGAGGATGACACACACTGATGTCAACGATCTGCACTGTACATGTCAGTGAAGTTGTAACAACTATGGTTTATACTATTTAAAACAGCATGCCGTGCAATATCATTTCTGAAATTGGATACAAAAGGCTGAATTTAAGCCAAAAGAAACACATTTATTCAAGACAGAAAAAAAAGATGCTCTGTTATTTACTTTTAGTTTGTCCCTCTTTATGGCCCCCACTTGAATAGCCAATGATGCCAACTCCTGAGTTAATTTTCAAAAACATTAAAGATAATGGAAAATGCCTTGAGCGTGTATTCTCAATTTCGGAACACTCTGTCCGAGAAAGATTGCTTTTGGTGCAATGTAATCACAAAAAAACATTTACCGCAGAAGGATATGATGTGGCTGCTGTCTGCGTGCACAAATTTCCTCGTTACTGCCTCCTCCATAATTTGTTTCACCTAACAGAAAAAAGTACAGAGTGGACAAGGATTAATCTGTCTGACAGTTACATGAGGTGACAGGGAGTCCAAACAAGAAGCACAACAGGAAGCAATGAGGGAATGAGTTACAAGAGGTTAAGAACAGCAATGGAAGATTGGTGCAGCTCCACAACACATTTAAGACGATAGAGCTAATTATTTATTAGGCTCAATACTTAACCTCTGTTATGCCCTCCCTACAAGCACCACACACAGTGGATTATTTTAAAACCACAACACAGGCTCTTCCCTTTCTGCTTTCTACAACTTCAACTTGAGCATTGCAAGAAAAGTGAAGGAAATGTTTTATAAACTTGTTCTAGAAGTACAGGAGGAATATTGTTCTTTACACCTCTGATATTTTCTTCTTGCAACCTTAAGGAACACTCCAGTAAATTAGTATTCCACTTCCCCAAAGAGGCAAATGCCAAAATACCATGACTTTTCTGAATCCCTTTCTTGGTCAAACACTGCCTACACTTCCCACAATGCAACTCTGTGATGCCTCAGTGAAAGATGGTCATTGCTAGGTAAACAAACACATTTTATTGATATGTTTATAATGTAGGCTTTCTTTTATACATGTAAAGCACCCAGTCGACAAAATGTCAGCTTGAAAGGTTGTCTTTCCTGTCATCGTAATTATCAATACGTAACATTTTAAAGGTTGACATTTAATTGGAATAACTATTGCTGTATTGTGTTTTAACAGTCCGGTCGTAAATTGAGATCAGATTTTTTTACTGCCTATTAGTAATGTATTTTATAAAAACCAGTCCAGAATCACATAATTGCAGATGCACAAACATGTTAGGGACCCATCAGAATCAGAATTAGAATACCTTTATTAGTCCCACAGAGGGGAAATTTGCATCGTTACAGCAGGAAAGAGCCACAGACAGCTTAATGTTACAGATGTTAAGAAAAAAGTACTAAGTTATCATATAATACAAAATATTATATATAAAAATTTTTAAAAAAGTAAAAGAAAAATACTTTCCAAAATACAAATCCTGTAACAGTTCTTAGGATTTAGCAGCCGGGTATATTACACAGTTATTAATGGCATATGTGTATATATTGCACATATAGCACATATTGCACATAGTATGATGGTATTTAACTGCAGCAAGTTACACTCTATTATATGACTTGAAAATGTTAAATACTGAAAATTATTATTTAAAAAAATACCCATTATTATTTGCTGTGTTTCAAACATATACCAGCTGAGCCCCTCCTTGCTGCAGGATCCAGCATCAGAGCCATGGATGTTGAGAGGCAATGAGTCACAGGTGAGGGGGAGCACAGACACGACTGGAAGCACCAGTCTTTTTCAGTTATGAATAAAACATCCTGTGTTCTTTCCCCAGGGGATCACAGAGTCAATGAGCAGTTTTGAAGTGTCTGAGATGAGCTAGTTAAATTCCGTGTAGATTAATATCAAAACTATAATGCACTAATAAATCACGGTTGGAGCATAATGGTTGCTAGAACACAGTGTGAATTAAAAACAAGGTCACTTGAAGTTCTAAATAAAAAGATGGTTTATTGTGAAAATGTCAGTTTAGCCATCTTCTTCAGAGAGAGGGAGAGGGAGAGGGAGAGGGGGGGGCACATTTTAGGATGTGAAAAGGGAGGTTTTGCATGGATTGAACCAAATGAATCTTTAAACGTCTTATCAGAAGTGCAGTTTTTTGTCGATATAAAACCATCAACATCACCACCATCATCTGTATCATTTTCGTCGTCATCAACAGCATCACTACCATCGTCACCATCATCTTACACTGGTCTAACAGCAGTCAAAAACATATGTGATTTTTTGACAACTGAAAGCCTAATTGCATCCGCTTTTTTCATTGTGTAAAATGATTGCACATTTTATTATAAGCAGGGCTTTTACGTTGTCGTGGCTCAGACCCGATGAACGGTGTCACACACACACACACACACACACACACACACACACACACACACACACACACACACACACACACACACACACACACACACACACACACACACACACACACACACACAGTAAACATAAGCTCTAATGAGCGAGAATTGAATAAAATGTAACGAACCTCTTTCTTCACATTGCGCAGCAGTTTCTGTCGCGTCTCGGCCTCTGTCACGGGAGAAAACATACCGAATAATGCTGATCAGACTGCTGTGTGGGAAATAGATGACAGGCTCACGACTAGAGAATAATAAAGACGGCTGTAGCCTACCTCCCATCGCTCCGGGAAGGGTGCAACCGCTGAGACGCACGGATTTCTATTTTGAAGGATGTCTTCTGGAAAGCAAAGGAGACCACACTGGTTGTAAGGCAGAGAGGCTCCGAGATGTGCGATGTGTTCTTAGCGAATAAATTAAACCTATCTGTTAACTCTCACAGAACCAACACCCCTTTAAAGTCACAGTAGCCCATTACAACGCCGACACCTATGAGTAGCCTACTCTCCATTCCCTGTGACACATATGGTGGATTTATTGTGCCAAACTTAAAATGTCAGAAATATTTGAATATTTATATTTCTCACATTATCGATCAAATCTTCAGAACCCCTTTAATAAATATGGTACTTGCAGCTACCATGTCAAATAAATCAAGGCCTCATTAAATTAATTATCTCAGTTAGTCTTCATAAAAAAATGCATTTACACAAATGTACACAATTGTATTGTTAGAGTTTTGTAAACAGCTCCTCATCTTATCATATTACATTATCAAGCATTAGTTGTATAGATATATAGTTTTATTTAAACAATGTGGTTTATACATTCTTATTAGTACACCTTGTACAACCTGCTTTGGCAATACTGCATTTCATTATGGACATGCCAATAAAGTCAATAAAAAATGTGAATATGGTTAGGCACATAATAGGTGGGTTTTATAGACATTAAAGCTGTCAATTTGTGTATCTGTGGCCGTGGCTTGTTAAACTGAACTGCATTAAAGAGTGTTCCTGTTTTTTTGTGGTAAATCCTAGGGTTTGCCAGCAGGAGTGCTCTTTCAGGCCAATCAAGCTAATTAACCAAATGAAATTAATTAATCAAATTAATGCAAAAAATCCAGTTAAAAGCCAATTATGTCATTGAAATGTCAGTCCTGCTCATTAATGTGCAATGTTGACCCAATGGGCTTATAGACCATAGATATAGTTTAGTTGCTGCAGTGCTGATGGCATCCAGGGAATAGGCACTTTTATATCGTCTCACAGTAAGCTAAACTGTATTGTGTCTTCTTTATCAAACATGGTCTTTCTGGTGCAACATCTCTTGGTTGAAACCACAAACCCAAACTTAAGACTCAAGAAAGGGGAAACTTTCCCCAAAATACCACAAATGAAAGTGGAACTGGGACTTAACACAAACAAGAACTCATATTATTGTATGTTAAGAGCCTTTTTCTACAGGTTGAAAGAACAAGCGGATGAAACGCAATGAGTAGTTGTGATACTGATACTTGTCACCACCTGGTGGAAGACACATTCATTGACTCCAGTCAATCAGCAGACAAGATCACTTCCTTATCCCACTCTGTCTTAACACCAACATAAATGAATGCAGTGACAGTGAGGACACAGAATCTAAATCCCACATCAGCAGGGAAATGCTAAGCCCAGTGACAGTAAAACGTTTTCAGATTGGTCTTTGAATGGACAAACTTTGCCTCCTATAGTGCAGACACGTCCAATGACGAGAGTACATCTCTGATTCATCTACCTTTATGATTGCTAGGTATGTTCCCAGGATGTTGTGATTGGAGAGAGCATATTGGTTCAAAAAGCAGTGGGCTCTGCAAAAAAAAGAAATGGTGCAATTGCATGTGTTACTTTTAAATCACCCTAAAGTCAAATTTAGCATGAAGTTGGAGGCAGAGGTTGTTATTTGTACATGCTATACAACTATACAAGTAATGATCAAGTCAAATATGATACATTTGGGTCAAACCAATTCAAATGAATGAAATATTAAATAAAATGTAATGTATAGTTTCATTTTTCATTCAACCTTTTATGGCACTGCATAATCTCTTCTCAGATTTAAGGCCACTGAGGAGAGAATTGCATCTCGTTTTCTCCATTGGAAGGCACTTTATCATGTTTTCTCTACAAGTAGGCACTTTTACTGCATTTATTTTTGAAATAATGATTGAATCTACACACCCAAAACCAGATGTTCCTTTCTTAAGTTTACCAACATGTACTTTATTCACATACAATAGGCTATATATTCCACCAATTCGCAAGTGGTGAGTTAGACAATATAGTTGCATAGGGTACACATCAAGGGGAAGGAAAGAAGGAGGCTGACAAGGAAGCAGACAAGGAAGCAGACAAGGAGGCACTGAGAGGCTGTGCAAGTATTGGAATAGGACACTGCTTTGTTCAACAGTAGGGGGGAGGCAAACGATCACAGTAGCTTTGCCTGCTACAATCGGTCAATACAATCTCCTAGGGCGGGCTATCCCGTTTCATCTGTGTCTAGCTGGATTGTAACGTTAACTTTCAAATATTTGTCTTGCCTGGACCCTCAGGATTTCTATCAAGGGATGTCAAAGCGAGTGCGAAGCAGAGAGGTCTGCGCTGATTGCAGTGCTCCGGGTATGATGTCAAACAAGCTAGCTTTAGCTGCCTCCTAGCTAACCAGCTAGCCCTTAGTACAACTCAACTACGTACAGTTAGCTAACCTAGTTAACGCTGATAACTGATTAGCAATTAGCCACTCGGTTAATTGTGACGTTTTTAAATGCTATTTTCGTAAATACGGTTGTAGACATATGTCCTGTATGTTTTTTTTGTCTGTGTAATCACATTAAGTTGTCTGCTGAAACTATGCTTGAATGGTTTAAAGCAGTCAAACGTTGGGTTAGCTTGAGCAGATAAATTAGCTTATTAAGCTAACTCGCTAATACTTACACGTTGATTATAAAGAAGCTAGCAGACCCACACCTGGTTGCAATTATGATTGTGATTTTGGATGTGCCGAAGATATTGGGAGGCAAGAGCTTATGTGTTGCTGTCAGTTAGCTTATATCATCGTCTGGCTTGAATGTATAAACTACCATACATGTTCCAGTTTGAAGTTAGATAACATTATGGACCATCTACGTTAGACTGGTAGGTTAACATTTGTACCTCTTTTTATTTATTTATAGAGCCACGCTGGGCCTCTGTGAACAGGGGTGTGTTGATCTGCGATGAGTGCTGCAGCATCCATCGAGGACTGGGGCGACACAGCTCTCAGGTCCGACATCTGACTCATTCTCCATGGCCATCGTCGCAGTTACAGGTGAGGAGATTGGCCCCCCACATACACCAACACATAGATGCAATTATGGGAGATAATCTATTTATCCCAAGTGGAATAGATAATAAAATGGCTGCACAGTCAGACACACCATCAAATGACTAGAAGACAACTTCATGTTACTCCTCTGTCTCTCACAAGTTTTCTCAGGACCTTGAGTGTCCTTCAGGTTTTATGTTGACTTTCCATTCTTTTGTGTTTTGTATTTTCCACCTGTTCCTTTACCTTAACTTAAATTACTATTAATTTGTGTATGGGATTGTATTGTTATGCTATCTTACTGCATTTTTAGTACTGTATTTTTAGTACATTAGTATTACATTACTATGTTTGTTCAGGGCTGCATGGTATGAGTACAATATACCTTAATAATATTACATGGGATAAATGAAGACATCAAAGTCCAGTTTCAGTACACTTCTATAAGCAAACACAATTGCTTATAGAATAAATTCATAAAATAAATTGTCTTCAATATTCTTTACAGATGAATTGGCAAAAGACAACAATAAAGAATTGCAAAAAAAAACATTTATGTGCCGTTTCTACTGATGCTTTCTTTTAAACTAACTCAATAAATCCCTGGGTGTGATATCACAGTTGATAAACTGTATTTGTGTTTTAGGCGCTTTGTAGATGTTGATGCATTCAGGTAAACTGTTTTGTGCTTTCATGTTTTAGATGGTCCAGACACTGTATGGTAATGGAGCTAATTCCATATGGGAGCATAGCCTTCTGGACCCTTCTTCTTCTGTGAGTGGGAAGCGCAAAGCCAACCCCCAGGACAGAGTTCAGTAAGTGCTTTTAAGGATTTTTGATGCATCAGTGCTGATTTTGATATGCTTGTTTGCCCTTTTTGATAAAAAGCTTTATTGGCAACATTGATTTTCATATTTAAGGTCAGTGAACATGCATAATTGGCCTTTTGTGAAGGACATGACTCATGGCCAGTCAGTCCCAAGTAACTTCAAGTTGGCATGACTTTATTATTATTTAACATGCATATGGGAATATACAAAAATGAATATATGTCCAGTTTAATGCAAGAACAATATCCTATTCATGTAAACTATATGGGATTAATTTGTTGATTATGCAAGAAAGTTAACTCTTGTATACAGCTTTTTCTTTATCTAAGAAAAACAAAATGTGAGAAGTGAGTGACCCAGATATAAACACTGTTGGTCCAATGTCTGGCTGGTGGAGTAAAGATAAACAGTCAGTCACATGTAAACACAGCCATGCTGAGTCTATCCCTCACACTCAGAGCAAACTCTTTCAATCAACAGACAAAAACAGAGTACGCATTGCACCAAACAGGAGGCAGTTATACTCAATCTTAGTCTTATTGGGTGTTTCTACTACTGCTTTTTGATGGATTCAGGAACAAACCTCGGTCTCGTCCATTGGAACTATGACTACATTTGGCTCATGTAAAAAAAACTGTTATTGTTCTAGAACTATCAAGGCAGTTGTGCAAGTTGCTGACTGGTCAAATACAGAGCCAGCAGCTTCTTTAACTTCCTTCATTTACAAAACAAGGAAGCATTCTACTATTGATATTTGGACATCTAGCATTTGTTTTTGTCTTCCCCACCAATTTAATATACTGTACTTGTGTCTGTAAAGGTATCAACAGAGACACATTTGGTCACATGAGTAATAGGAGATATTGAGTTTAATTGTGAATGTCCTCAACAATGTACAACCCAAATGCTAACATTAGTAGGGTGATCTGAAATGGAGATACAAAGATATCCAGAATCCTGTGTAATGTTATTGTGGATTAGGTCTACTAATTTGAGTAATTGCCTTCCTGCCATCAAAAACTGTATATTGGATTTGCAGATGTTGTGTGTGTGTGATTTTAAATATTAGAAATCAGGTCCTCAGCAGCATATGTTTAGTTGGTTGTTTGTCCTGCAATTGATTTATGCTTGTCACTTGAACATAGCAATGGTGGTTGGATTTTTAATTTTTGATCCAAGCATCTTTGGTTGTTTCCAGTCCCAACAAGACGGAGTTCATCAAGGGCAAATATCAG